CATTAAAAATATATTGCTGTTCAAAATGTCTAAATGTCTTGGAGCAACAATAAGGATTTTGCAGGTTTTATTGTAGAGCCTATTTAGTTGTTTTATACTTTTTACATGTTTTATAATTGTGGTTTGCATCTTGCTGTTCAGCTTCCTTCCTATATTGCAACATTATTGGGTTTTTCTTGTTTTTTTTTTTATCTTCCGCTTTCTACTTAGAAAGTTAATAATAAAAAGTAACCATCTGAAAAAGCAAAAACACATTTCTGTGAACATTCATAGTTAAAATTTCGTTGTAGTACCGGTAGTATTTTTTGATATTCTTGTCTGTTCTGGATTCACTGACTCATATGTCGCTAAATGAGTCACGTCTGCATCTTTTTGTCTCTTATTAATCATTTTAGATTCTGTAGTTTAAACTCAGAGTTTTATGAGTTACAAGGAAGAACGTAAATCTGTTCTTTTGATGTGTGCGCGCGCCTCTGTCTGTTTTTACGAGTGTGCAGGATTAACACAGACATTCCTCAGGCTCACTGTCAAACAGACTCAAACTCATCCGGTGCACAAAGCCCTGGAATCTGTCCTCCCTGCCCTTTTCTCCTGCTCTCCATCCCTCCTTCCCCTCCACCCTTCAGGTCTTTTAATGTCTCGTCCGTTTCCTTTTGCTGCTGCTGATTTGTGATCACGCTGCTCGCCTGCCTCTACTTGCTTTATTTTTCTTAGTTATTTTTGTGTGTCGAAGGTTTACGACAGGCACACTAATCACCCACCGTTTAAATGTAAAATTATGAGAAGCCTCATTTTGGACGGCATGGAGTTATAAATTCAACAGCTGCCTGTTTGTGCTGAAACTTCACCCCTTACCCCTCTCTTTTTCTAGTGTAGGGCACGTATCTAAGTATAGTAGTCCCTCATTTACTGCGGGTGTTTGGTTCTGAACCCACCCCCGCAGTAAGTGGAAATCCGCAAAGTAGCGATGTTTAATTAATTTAGTATTTCTAAATATTTTAAGGCTTTAGAAACCTTTCCCACACTCTTGCAATGTTCTAAACTCTACACGTCATTTTAACAACATGCATACGGTACTGTATATGTAGCTACTAAATTTTACTTACCAGCTCTGCAGAACAGTGGCTCTCGTTCTGGTCCGATTTGGTTCCGTTTCTGCAGACGTACCCAGCAGCAACAAAGCCCACAATCAGTTTTCTAAACTCTTAAACCTACTAATTTTAACAACATACTTGTATGAACAGTAGCTTATAAATGTTACTTACCAGGAGGTCCTCGTCGGCCAGATGAAAGACATGAAAAACATGGCCGTGGGCTCTTGATGGACCACCAGACCTTTGGCGCGTCCCTGCTCGGAGGTCCACGTGGGTGGGCTACCAGCTCTCAAGATTCACCGATTGGTTTGGAGGTCTGGTTTTGATCTGGTTCGGTGGTTTCTGTGTGGCTTCTCTGCATCCACTGGGTGCCAGTCAGATCAAAACTTTACTTCTAGTTTTTCAGCAGAAGGAAACGGGGCTTCTGGGCTGGGCCCTGTTGCCTTCTGGGAAATGTGGTCGTTATGAGCGGGAATACAGTCGAGGATTAATGAGATAAAACTACAAATGACTTCACCTGTCTGAAATATTTTATTTGTCCGTTAACTTTTTACTGTACATTACTTTATCCAGTGCTGTCCCACTCACATGAGTAATATTAATGTTGACAATCTTGTCCTGTACAATTTTTTATTTTTCCAATATTATGTACTGTATGTTCACCAGAGCGAGTCTGCTTAAGTGGCTCCATAAAGTAGTGAGGGACTACTGTAATACATACTACTAGCAAAGGAAAAAAACTCACAAATGCTTTTTTTTCCTAATAAAATATTTGACTGTCAAACACTTTTACAGGTTCACGTAATATGACGGACCTTGTTTGTTGTTATTGCAGAACAACCTTGACAACCATAAAGTACAATGTCAAGTTTTTGTTAAAGGATATTTTACTATCACAGCAGCATCGTAATGTCTAATTTAGTACATTTAGATGCATTGTGTTTGGCATTGTCCTTCCTTAAAGCAGTAGCTTAAATCTTTTGAAGCAAGGTTGTATGGCAAGGTTATGAACACTAATTATCTCACCTGTTGTAGATAGCACTTTAAACAACTTTTATTTGGAAAAAAATGTGTATTTCCAACTAGAGGCTTTTGTCCCTTTGTGTCTGAGGAGAAGCAGGTTTTTCAGGTGTTTGTTGAAATTTGAGGACAAGAGTTGCATCTTCAGAAAGAATCATATGTTCTTCCCCTCCCTAAAATAATTTATTAGTAGAGCTGAACAATTAATTACATTTGCAATAATGCCGCGATATGATAAAACAAGATTTTCTAATAGCAAAGGCTGCAATTTGACTGGTCACGTGATCTGGTTACGTGACTTGCGAGTGAGCCGAGCAAAGCAAAGCAGGGAGCGGGAGAAGTCAACACTCGCTTTAACCGGATGCACAGTGGCATCAGGCTCGACAGAAGCTGATACATCTGAAAGTTTGGTACCAAAGAGGAGCAGCACGTTCGTTGTTTGGAATTATTTTTGCTATAAAAAAGAAGACGCTGCGCAACGACATGTATTGTGCAGAACCTGCCTTGCTGCTGTTGCTACCTCTTGAGGTAACGCCACAAATCTTTATCAACACTTGAAAAAACACCACAAAGCCATTTACGATAGTTGCATGGCTAGAATGCCAACGACCAGCGCTACAACTTCAAGTAAGAAAAGTACCAGCCGACAGGGTCACTGACCGAACTGTTCCAAGGTATAACTCTGTATGAACATAATTCGAAACAGCACGCAGAAATAACTTGAGCAATAACGGAAATTATAGTGAAAGACATGATGCCCATTAATATAGTGACCAAGCCTGGGTTTACGACGTTGGTAAATCAGAATAAGCTTTATTATCATTGTACCAAGATACAGCGAGAATATGTTCATACAGTCGTCCGAAAGATGGGCAGAGTGCACGTAGCTGCTGCTATGATAGCGCGGCCTCTTATCCTTTTCAGAATACTTTTTTAGATAGAAAAGGGGAAAAAGCCATGTGGAGAGTATAGTGGCATTACAAAAAAGATCTCCACACCTTTTCCTATCGGGACACAATTTAATACATCAAAAAACTCTGCCAGCAAGCACATTTATGAACATGTTACATATGCATTTGACGGCAAGGCAGTCCATGAAACACTTCCAGATAGACCATAGTCCTGATAAGATGTTGGTCAGCCGACACAGTTCTGATAAGCCTCCACATGAGTTCTCGGGGTGGGGGTGGTTGCGATAAATGAAGCTTTTCCTTAGTTTACACATTGATATGTCGGCTTGTTTTTTAGGCCAACCATGGGAGTCAGATTCAGGATTCAGATAAGCCACAATTGTTGATTTTCTTCAGGCTGGCTGTTTTTTCTTGTCAGCCTTGAGTCTTTCTGGTACTTTCAAGACCCGAAATGGCCAGATTAGGGTGAATTTTACTGGTCCGTGCTTATGAGCCCCTCCAAAGTCATTTTCAACATGCTGGCGAGTCCCAAAGCCGCAGGTGGCCTGCGATTCTCACAAATCACTTCCATCTTATGGTTTAGCTCGTAAATCAGATGATTTCGAGTCCTCAAAGCACAAACCAAACAAGGCAGGCAGCCTGACGAGGGCCAAAGTAGCTGCAGCTGTCTTCTTGTATGTTGAGAGACCAGTAACCAGCTGATTTCAAAAAGCAGGAAACCTGTTATCTTAAATCTAATTGTTTGTCTTTGGCGTCCTCCTGAGATTCTCAGCGGGACATGAGGGCTCTCCAGGATCCTGTTGCTTTGTTGAAAAAATGCTGTCGATTTCGTTAAAGGTCCAGCTGATCAGATCCATAACAGTAGTTTTAGTTTCGGAAGATGTGTAAAATAGGAGCTCTGATACACAGACAGAGAGTAAAAAAGCAGGAGGACGACAGGAGAGGGACGAGAATGCGTCTGCCTCGTACGAGAGCGAGTGAGGAAAAAACAACACAGTGGATAAGCGATACAGAATGCCCTCGCGCACACATTTTAGCCAAATCGCTATCCTGGAGCTATACAAAAAAATGCAGAAACGGAGTTGCAGCAGATCCAAAAACAGTGAAACTATTTTGCAACTGAAACCGATTGATTTATTGCTTGTGTTCGTTGAAAAATACATGAGAAGAAGGCATTGAAAAATAATCGCATATTAAATCTCAATCGCAATATTGAGGTAAAAAAGTCACAATTAGAATATTTGCTGAAATCGTTCAGCCCTGTTTTTTTGTGTGAAAAAGACAACTAGCTTTGTGTGCGTGTGTGTGTGTAATGTTTGACACTGTGCCACGCCATCAGGATATTGTTGTTTGTGCTTCAAAGATCCGCCCGGTCTTATTAATGTATTCAAATAAACAGTTTGTCCTGGTGGCATCATGGTTCCTGGATCGCTGCCACAGGAGCAACAATCCTGCTTCAGGCTTCAGAGGACTCGCAGTCCGGCTCACACGAACATGCAGAACATTCACACACACAAACACTCAGGCAAAAACTGCTTTTGCTTTCCAGGATCACCACAGAACGTCTGCTTCTTATTAATTATGTGTTGGGACACCGTGCTACGCACAAATTTATAAACCAGATCATTGGGTCATTTTTATAGTGACTAACATAAAGACATATCACTCAGTTGCTTTGGCATCTTTCCCTACCGTATTTGTACTGCAGCTTGTATGAACCATTTAGTGAAATAAGACATATTTAAATAGAAGTGACAATTTTGAGAAAAATGAGGGAAACAATGCACTTAGTTTTATTTTTTAATACTGTAGTACTCTCAGCTACCCAGCTGTGTTCAACACTGTGAAGAAAGGTTGAGTCTTTTTCTTACAGGTCCTGCTTTCATCTCTCGATTTCTGCACTTTTATGACTGTTTGTGAGCGTAATGTCTTACTTTTAATCCTCCGTTGTTGTTTTTTTTGTTTGTTTTTTTAGGCATCCAATCCTAAACTCACAACTCCGTGCTCAGATATCCAAGAAGTCCGTCGCTGCAACCAACTGGAAATGCCCGACAACTTAAACACGTTTGTTTTAAAGGTATGTGCCGTGAACTATACAGTCATGTTTGATTCTCTCACAAAGTTTTCAGTTGTTTTTTTTTTGTTTGTTTTTTTTTTAAAATCCAGTGCATATAAAAGATGAGCAAAACTTTGTGGCATATCTATTGGTTTTCCTTGCTGTACTGATCGCTGTACTTCTAACATTTCTATTTATGCTTTTGTTAAAGTTTTCTGTATTTTGCATTATCCGTTTGTGTTCCTGTTTTTAAAATAAACTGAACTCCAAGCTTTTGTAATGATGCATCTCTTTAGCCCCTTTTTGACTGAAACAGCTACATAATTTACAAAAGCAAAAAGAAACTGAATTATTGATGATGTTAAAATGTCAGATTATTATGAGTGCATGCATCTGTTCCATGTCTTATTGTGTGTGCGTTGTTACATTTTAAATCCTCTTTGGTTCTGCAGGTTAATCGAGGTAGTTTGATATTTGAGACAGACAATGACCAGCAGGTCTGCTCCTGGACCACAGAGCTGAAAGAATGTGTCAGCAACAGGTGAGGAAACGCCTGAACGCAACACAACACCGTCTTTAGATTACATAACAACATTTCTAACAACATAAACAACTAAATAAACAACTGATGAACAATGATGCTAAGATTATTTTTGTGTCATGAGTGAAAACACAAGCATCATGTCAGAAAAGTTTCAAACAAGTTTTGAGCAAATGAAGTCTTTCAAGAGGGAACATATTCTAGAAACTGTCATCCGTATCCCTCAGAGATCATGAGGAGAAATATTTTACAATTTTAAATGATGCTGGGTGTGCTAAATGTTTGTGCTGTGTTAATAAATGCACATTTGAGGTTTGCAATGAAAACTAGCAGTGTTGTTTGTTAGTGAGTTTGCCCTTATTTGTTCACGCAGTCGTTGGATTTGTGGATTTCCAGGTTCAAATATTTGTGAAACTCCTGCAGATGATCAGTCATTAATCTGTCAACCTACTGTATTTACACTATTCGTCTGAGGAGTAACAGATCCTTCGTGGAGCCTGGGATGTTGAAGCATTAGGAGTTAATTCAGGAGAGCAATGTGAGGAGCCCAGGAGGCCTCCTTCCTAAAGCTACTATATCACTGAGCTGCGACTAGTTTATAACTCAGAGTTGTGGGAAAATCCATTTTCACTTAACTCTGCGACCAAGTGACCGTCCACCCGAGTGGCCACTTTTTGAGCAGCCCGTTTCGGAGAGTGACAGCCTGATTTCTTGTTTCCGGATTGCAAAACTGTTCTCTTGGCCGTGCAGATGGTTTTGTTGTCCACGTTCTCTCACTTTGGCTCGCTTTGGCAGACGTTCCCACATTTATGGTTCGATCTGGAGACGCCCGCAGCAACATTCAGAGGGGGTTGAGTCTGTTTGAAGACGCCCGTGATCATGTGTGACTATGGAGAAAAGTTGTCACCAATGCTTTTAATCATGTTCAAAACTTGAGCCATGGGGCTGTGTCTCAACAACTCATGCAAGGGAGTTGAGAGCCCCATGTGTCCCTCATGAACGCTGGTCACCAGTTAGACGCAGCTCACAGAGCTTCTGCTTTATGTGTTGCTGGAAATATTTCCTGTATTCCCCTTTAATATTCCATTAATTTATTGTAACCATTTACAGTCTTGTAACAAAAACAAACTAAAAAAAAAAACTTTAAATCTACATTAAATTGTATATTTTACCAAAATGTTTTCACTTGATAAGTGAGAAAGTGTGACTCCATAAAGACTTTTCTTTTATACGATGGGTGAAATTTGCCACCTCTAATCCTTGAAGATTCACTAACTGAATGAAATGTCCTCGCTAAGGGAGACGAAAGCGTTCGCTGATTGCAAAGATACAAGAAAAACATGAACGCACTCAAGTGAGGCCGAAGGAGAAGTGTCTTCCTGTTATTCAGAGCAACACAAAGTGAAGTCAGCATTTACGCAGGAGTTTCTCCAACTTCCCCCTTTAACCTCCCCATTCTTATCTGGGCATTTACACACATGTTGTCAGTACGTGTTTGTGCTTCTGTACGTGTTTGCGTGCATGTGTATGTGTGTGCGTGCAGTGAAACAGAAGAACAGTGAGTCATAGTTCACATCTGAATTGGTGAAATAGACTCACTTCCTGTCTGTGCTCTGTGTCTTTGTGCTCCCTCAGCCTGCTGTTTCCTCACCGTTCACTAGACACGCACGCACGCACGCACGCACACACACAGTTAGTTGTATGTCTGCTAAAGCTAGACACAAATCATCCCAAGGGCCCATTCCAGTCTAAATAAAGAAAGCTAAATTTAAAGATCGATTAAGAACAACTGTTTGGTCTCTGTAACGTAATTATTCATAAATTAGCTGTCGATGGTAATAAACAGCACAGCACTGTGCAAAAGTTTTGTCATCCCTCATTTCTTGGTATTTTGCTTCCAGGAATCCAAACCTTCTAATTTTTTTAAGTCTTGAACAATAGTTCTCCAGGCTCACCTTTTGATTACCGTCATTATGACATCACGGCTACAGAAACCGTCAAAAAGACACGGAATAATATGGTGCTGCCTCACAGACAGGTATCTCACATAGCAAGAATAAATGCATTACTGAAGCAAAAACTTCAATTAACACAATTCAACAAGTTTCCTTCAGCTGCACCACATTTACTAAATTACCAAAAGCATCAATATGGACGTAATAAATAGACAAAAATAACATATTTGAATAAATTGCTTTCACAAACTCCATCCTCCTTTTTTTCCTCAGTAGGAGTTCAGTCCCTCTGTCCTACAGGTTATGGCGTTTCAGTTAGACCTGTTGCGATAAACAATAAATCAATTAATCGCATGGTTAATTAAAATTATCAACCTCATTTTCATTTATCAGCTTTATCGTTTCTTCGTGTCTCTCTCTTTCTACTGAAGACACTGGATGACAAAAAGCTCAACTCCGGTGCTCTTCACTGACTCCTCCCTTTCTCTTTTCTCTTTAAAATCAGTTTAACCGTCCAAAATTGCGTTTTTGGATCGTTAAAAGCAGCTAAGCTGAGAAGCTAAGCTACGAGCTAAGCTAACAGGCCAACCTCGGGGGGGGGGGGGGGGGGACGTAAACCTGTGGCTTCGTCTAAAAAGTTTTTTCTACAAAAAGAAGCTGAGAACTTTTTTAATGATTTTTTTGTTTTGTTTGTACAATAAACCATTTTAATTGACCCATACCTTTGTCTCCCCTCATTCTTGTTATGGGCCATGAGCCAGGCCTGTGACATTTGTGTGACAAATGCTATGCAAAAGAGCTCAAACCACACCGAGCGTCCGCTATTTTGAGAACCAAAAAACAAAAATGAGAAACAGCCCATGTCACGTCAAGGTGCCTCCCTCCCATTTTTCTTAAAGAGACACGCTGCTCTTTCACTCACTATCCATCCTTCGGTTCAAACAGTCTTATACTGCCATCCGGTGGTCAAAAAAGGCACTACATACAAAATTAACTAACACTTCTTCTTACATTTGACAATTACTAATTATTGCCAAACTTCAAACAATATTATCGTTTAGTGCAATATTTTCAGAGACAATTAATTGCCCAGCAAAATTTGTTATCGTGACAGGCCTAGTTTCAGTTTCAACGATTAGTCCTTTTCTATCACCATGGAGGCTAACACTGAAAGTCCCGTCTGGTCCGTCGTGTTTCTGACATGAGGTCTAATTTGCTTTAGAACTGAGAATGTCCGCTCGACGCTTAGCTTGTGCAGGATGCGACAAATGCAGTTTCCCAGCTCTGGTCATCCAATCAAATGTCACGAAAAGGCTGACGCTGTCGAATGCCCAGAAAGTGATTCTGATCGTCAGCAGAGAAGGCTTTGCTGGCCCTGACGGTTCACCACTGTGCGGCAGTATAATGCGCCGTGTGCAGTTAAATAAATTAGAAAAGTGAACGAATGGACAAACGACACAGATTCAGATCTTCAGCAGATGAACAGTATCTGTAAATTATATCTTGAAGAAACGGAAACAAATCCAGAAAAGACCTGACACAGGAGCAAACGGGTGCACCATTTTTCAGTGTGTCGTGTTTTCAGCTGTTAGCTCTTTAGGAATCACTTTGTTTCTGTCTGTCAAACTTTGTTCTTTATTAATTTGTTTTTATAGATTTAGAACAAAAACTGAGATTTTGTGACAGGCTGCTGATAACAAAGTGCCTAAATATTTAATTTCAAACACATTTGTTTCTAAGTTTTCTTTTAAATGTTGACACAAGACCGGTTCATCCCTTGAGTTAAGGAGCCTTTTTATTTACCTGAATAGTTTATAGGTCAAAGTTAAATGGGTTACCAACAAAAACATAAACAAACATTAATTTGAAAATGTTTAGAAACTGGACAGAAAAAGAATTAATAGTTAGAGTTTAAAGAAAAACTTGGAAATAAAGCCTCAAAAATGTTATCAAGACCACCTGAAAACTCACTGGAAGCAAATTCTGAAGAACTGAGGGATGTATCGTTCTGTATCTGGATTTTGTGCATAAATCGTAGTTAATACTAACTTGGTGTGTATAAATGGTTCAAACACAATTAATGCTTAACGTAAGTTGTAAAAACAGCATCTGCATCAGAAACGTTTCTACACCAAGACTGAAATGAAGCTGAACTCTCAGAAATAAAAGAGCAGGTGCCTCGGCCTCATCTATAAATCCAGACTGACTCTTTGTTGAACTGAACACAACGGCTCCTGATTTCTGAGCTCTGGCCTTAACTTTAAAACTGTAACCGTGATTTAACCCCAAACATGCCTTTGAAGGCGTGTCAGGACCAGCAATCAATCACATTTTTACCCAGAGAAGTTGCAGTTCACCGACACCCCCTCCTACTCGAGACGGAACAATAAATGATCAGATGTGTTTTTTCTAAAACACCAGTCTGAACAAAGCAGCTTCTCTCCACAGAGCAGGACGAAGCTGATGTTTGAGTACGAACAGAATCAGAGCAGAGACGATGGAAACTAAATGTGAAAAAGTCACAACGATGCTGTCGTCTCTCAGGTCAGGCAGCGCGGATGTGGAGTCCCCCCTCACGCCGGTGGACAGCTCCGTTCCAGCCAATCAGAGGAGCTCAGAGTCAGGAAGTCAAAGTGAGTAGTGGGGTGAGGTGAGACGACCTAACATTTAGGGTCTCACTGGACCTTCATTTCAAACAGAAACACTGACCTAAAAATTAACTTGTTGCTAACATCTTCTATTGTTTCTCTCTGCAGGTCCTGTCAACTTCACGCTCCCAGAGCAGGTCCCACAGAAGAGCGACCACTTCCTGTTTTCCTACCCTTGGTTTCACGGGCCCATTTCACGTGTCAAGGCAGCCCACCTGGTTCAGAGCTCCGGGGCCGAAGGGCACGGCGTGTTTCTGGTCCGGCAGAGTGAGACGCGAAGGGGGGATTACGTGCTCACGTTTAACTACCAGGGAAAGGCAAAGGTACGCCCGAACACCTGCTGTCGGTGTATCCACATCAACGTTCACGCTGCAGCTAACAGATAAACTTAGCAGCCATAAAACCAACACTGAGGTTTATTCAGATGAATTCCCTGTAAATGTCTCTGGTTTGGTTTTCTCCTGCTGCAGCACCTGCGCCTCTCTCTGACTGAATGGGGTCAGTGCAGGGTGCAGCACCTGCGCTTCCCCTCCGTCATGGACATGCTCGGCCATTTCCGCCTCTTCCCCATCCCGCTGGAGTGCGGAGCAGCCGGCGCCGTTACGCTGTCCAGCTTCGTAGTGGCAGGCTCCAGCCCCCCATCACAAGGTAACCCCCCCCCCCCCCACACACACACACATTCAGCTGTCAGAAAGTTCAAATAATTTTCCTGCTTTGCCATTTTTTTATTGTAAAGCAGCTAATCTTTGCAAAGTAAATGAAATACATTACTGTAAGTCAAACCCTTTTCATTCTGCTTCGTGTCGGTCCTTTACTTGTTTGATTCTCTCCTGAGCTTCTTGCTCACTTTTATCCGTGCGCCACAATTCTCAGAGTTCTCTTTTGTCGACACAAGGCTGCAATTTTCACCACACGAGCGTCATTAGGACTCGGTCAGTCTGGACTACTGCTGCTTTACTGGAATAAAACTCCAGGATTTATAATGACATCTTCACCGTGTGAACAACCGGAAACAGAAAGAAAAAAAACGAGATTTCAGCTACATTTACATGCTTTAAAAAAGAAACTACATTTAAGAAATTAAGAATACTTTATTGTCATTCCAGCTTCATATTCAAACAAAATTAAAATCAAAACGGCAAGTTTTTAGTGTACCGAGCCCTGAAAGAGCAGAACAAAGAAACAAAACTGTTTTAAAACGGTGCTAAAGACATAGTGTAAATAAATAAATAATTAAAAATCATCACAGATAATTGTATTTTATTTTTATAAAGTAATTTTAAAACACTAAAATAGCAAAAACATAAAGTTTTGTGTGCTATAGTCATAAAAAGCACTAAAAATTTCATTTATTCAACAAGTTTGACCACAACATTAAGAAATCAAGAATGCATAACTATTTGTGGTATTAAACCGTTAATATTACACATTTAACAGAGAATTCAGTGGTTTTATTGCCTGAAAATGTGTTGTTGTTGCACATTCTGGTCATCTCCCACCGGATGGCAGAAAGGAGAAATGTCTCTAAAAATACCGAGGCTTTCACAGAAGAGTCCGGCTGCGTTTGAATTGTTTGCTCCTTCACTATAAAGCAAAACGACATTTTAACTTTAGTTTTTCAGCCACTGCATCGTGCCTTCATAATGCTTTGTGGCTTCAGCTGACAGTTAGCCGTCGAGGCTAACGTCCGCAGCGCGTTGAGATTTAGACTCATTAAAAATGCCTTTAATATTCTAATATAAAATGGCTTCCTCTATCTGAGCTACAGGGCTGATAAATGAGAAAATGTGTTTTAATCCTGTATATAAAACAAGTACGGTAGGTCTAAACATAAAAATGTTGTTTAGTTATAATAATTCAAATTATAAACCATTATGTTGTCATGGCATGTTGTTATTACGCAGGTAACTTTAAAATCAGTTGTTCAGGACAGAAATAGTATTATTGGTTGGTAATATTAATTCATGTCTTAGCACATTGAAGGTGTTTGTATAGTTGCAGCTGCAGCCCGTGGTTGTGTACAAACAAACAAAAGGTGTGATGGAGACGGATTAATTACAAAAGGTGTGTGTTCTGTTTCAAATTGATGCCGTTTATATTTGCCACACCTGACAGAAAATACTCTGTGCATCATTATGAAGTACGCTGCGTTCAAGTAGTGTTGGAAATGTAAAAACTCAGTGCTGTCCCCTACGTAGAAGTGATTATGAGTGAGTAAGCATTTCGTACACAGCCTCTGTCAGCTGTTCTCACCACGAGTCGCAGCGTTTCCTGGTAGTCCGACCGCAGCTGCCGTCCCAAAACGTGCTGCAGCTCGTGCGCAGACAGCGCAGGTGATGTTTCAAAAGTCAGGAGTTTCATGTGAAGTGGCTTAAAACAGTGTTGGAGCTGATGTTTACGGCGACGCCGTCTCACGATGAAAACAAAACAAGGTTCTCTTGTGAGCTCATTTCCTGTCTCTGTTCCTCAGGTCAGCTCTCGGGCGCTCTCCTCGCCCCCTTCTCCCTCCACCGGTGGAGCTCGGAGCCCAGCTTGGCTCACTGCAGCCTGGCTCGCAGCTCCACTCAGCCGCCCCCGTTCTGCTCCACCTCCAGCAGCACCACCACCTCCTCCACCTCCAGTCCCAGCGCCCACTTGGCTCGGACCGTCCCCGCACCTGAACCCACTCCGTCAGTGCCCCTTCCCTTGAGGCGGAGCGAGTCGGTGGGCCGAAGGCCTCTGCTCCGTACCCCCCACGCTCCCATCATCCCTCAGCGGGATTCAGACTACGAGCTGGAGCCCGACCGCAGCCGCAAGCGGGCCATAGACAACCAGTACATGTTGCTCTGATGCTCTGGGTCCAACACCTCGGTCACTAACACACGATCAGGGAGACGGGATGATTAACAGACTGATGAACTCGAGGGAAGTCTTTGAATAAAACCACACGAGCACGTGTGCCAGACCCTCGCCACCTCCAGTGTCCACAGTGAATGTATTTTTGGAGTTTAACTACCACGTTGACTCAGAAATAACCTTGTGTTGAGGTTCTGACTGAGAGTCTCACATCAGTATTGTCCTCAAGCCCGAGCAGAAACAAAATGTTTAGGATATTTCTGTTCTATAGATTTTTATAGAGGCGCACCTGATGTCATTTCTTCAGCGCTTCACCTGGACCGATGGGAAAGCGCCGGCTGCAGAAGTGCTCCTTCTCGCACAAAGTTCCCAGCGTGGAGCAAACTTCCACCTTTCTACACAAACGGCGCTCCTTTTAGAGCGTCGTCCCATTATATTCATCTTTGTGCATCATTATTATATACTGAAGTGCACATGGCTTTAAGTGCACTTTTTAAACCTTGTGTATTTTTCTATACACAAAACCTTTTTTGTAGAAAAATAAAGTAAAAAGGAGATGAGTTTGGTCCGGTCGGTCAGGAAGCTTTTCTAGAAACGGACTGCGTGCATCTTTCGCCTCTTTTGCTACAACGAATAAAAAGAACCACAAACAGGTTTCAGGATCCGATTGTCCATCAGCAGTGTCACCTGAAATGAGGTTTGTGAGTCTGGATGCGTCTGTCGTGGAGTTTTTAAAAGATCCAGGAAGTTCATTAACCGAATTGAACTTGTCTGTCTTTAATTGGGTCCCCAAATCCCACCCAAGCACTGAAGACCCCTAAAATCTGTTTAAAATAATGAGATGTCAGAAAGTCTCCCCAAAACACCACAAAATGATTGAGAGTAGAGTGATATGATTCAATTCTTACAGGATTTTAAGCTGTCCAGTCAATACTGGTTTCCTCTTCCTAAGGATGTGGCTGAGTGGTTAGAGCAGTCGTCCTCCAATGCGAGAGTTGGGGGTTTGATTCCACCAGCAGCCACATGCTGAAGTGTCCCTGGGCAAGACTCTGAACCCTCATTGCCTCCGATGTGTGTCCCATCAGTGTATGAATGTGATAAAACACTGATTAGTCTCTTTAGACTAAAGCTAATCAATTAGCTTTGTATAGATCTAGCAGAGTGCTGTATGAATGGGTCAATGAGGCACAGATTGTAGAGCGCTTTAAATATGTTGACAAGATGGAAAGGTGCTGTACAAGTCCAGTCCATTCAGCATTTCTCTGAGGCTACAGAGTCCAGTTTCATCTCGTCTTCATTTGCTGTTTTTTTTTTTAACTTAAACTTTGTACAGATTTAAACAGACTTGTCGTTAGATTGACCTCAGAAATAGTTTTCTCTCTTTAAAAAGGAACAATGACTCTCCCAGCTGACCTGGGAACAGCTGAGGATTTTCCAGGAAGAGAAGCAGGAATATATTTTACTTTTTTCATGTGACTTTAACACATTTAAGAGTTATGAACTTACAAAAGGAAGAGTTACTTTTCTTGCTAGTTAAAAAAAATAAAATCAACAATGAATAGCCGTTTCAATAATATGCTTAACATATTATCAATATATAGATTCACTCCACTTTCATGATTTTGTGGCATAAATCTGAGGCTTGGTGGGCAAAAAATTTCAACCTAACCGAAAACACTTGTATCACCAAGAAGCTCCACTTCCAGACCAAAACGATGGGACTGAATCTCAGATTTGACGTCGATCCTCGACAAAGATCGGAAAAGTGTTGCCTCTCGGTCATTAAAACCCTTCAAGGGCTCCGAAACACTGACGGTGACATGTTGCAGATTCTACAAAACATTGAAGCAGTGCCTCTGTTGCTATGGCGATTTTCCTCCACAACTTGGGGCACTTTCTTCTTTTTTACTCTGGGAGTAGCATTATGTTCCTAGCTCTACTTTTCACACTCAGCATTAAATCTTTGGATTCATCTTTGACTTCACAGCAGCTAAAACCAAAGAGGCTGTGAGAAGAATGTTTAGCAAGAAAAGGTTTGTAGCCAACGAAGCTTTGGAAGTGTGTAAATGTTGCACCAACAATCGTGTTTGTTCTGTGCCCTCATGAACAAAGGTGCCTTTAAGAAGTTTAAACCACCAGTTTAAAGCTACCACAACAAACAACTCAGGTTTTTATTTTGTTCCTATTCTTAGTACATAAAAAACAAATACCAAAGCCTCAAATTTTCATGCAGTCCCAAACAGCTTTTTTGGCACAAAAAGCATATAAAGTGTTTTTTTCATGTAGAATTGGTCAAATCTTTTGGGGAAAAGTGTGTAAAGTTACATCCGTCATTTGAACTTTAACACTACAACCCAAATTTTAGATTCAGTCTGTAAATGTGTGCGTAGCGACTGGTTTAGACCTTATTCTGTCTCGAGACTTTGCAGTTTCCTGAAACCACAGCTTGATTTCCTCGTTTTAATCTAATAACTTTGTTACATGACAAGTCGGCTTTGACTAACACTTCTACAATGGTTTGTTCTGTTTGAAGTATTATTTTCATTAAGACTGACATTTTTTGAAGGGGAACAAAACAAGGACGTTTTTGGCAAAAGTACGGTTGGTCTACCTGCTTTGATGTGCCTGAACAGATGTTTCGTTTCTGCTAAAGCAGAGTAACGGTAAAAGAAAAGAAAACTGTCCGGAGCATCAGTCGTTTTTCTTTTCTATCCGGGACAATCACTGTGCCTTTGCCACAAAGCTGCTGTTGCTTTTCCCCTTGTTCTAAAGCTCAGGGTGTGATTGTGCAATAAAAGAAAGATGCTTCACACCTTTCTGCAGGCGTGAGGAACAATTGTGCTCGCAACGAAAAATAAAATAAAATCCTCAGAAAACATGTTTAGAACCAAGGCTGTCGCTTTTTTTTTTATTTTAATACCTGCAAGAATCGAGTTAAAGCTCAGCTCCATCGCCACCTCCCGTCCTCCACGTGTTTATTTGGAAGCGTCCCGTTGATAAATGTGTTCTCGATACTGTTCATCCTGTTTGTTAACTTCGCACTGTAAACATTCCAGTTCAACCCGACGTCCCGTCTTTCAGACGAACCACAACAGCTTCTGAAATGTTTCACTGGGTCAGCATCTTTTTCAGTTACAAGCATCTAAATTATACTAAATATATAACAACTGTATGTTTGACTATTTTCTTTTTTTTTTAATAAACATATCCAAGAAAATAAACAAGTTAGTTGTGTCTTATTGTTCCATTTGATCTAGGGATGTACGATATTGGATTTTTAGCCGATATTCAATATGTTAAAACTTACTTAGCCGATAACTGATACCAATATTTTTTTCTTAGACCTACTTTAGAGACTACACATCTTTCTCTGCTGTGGAATTAAAATACATTATTCTGCATGATCTTTGTCAATTTGGCCTGCTACCAAATGCAAATGCCAAAAAGGGGGCTGAAAATGATTGATCACTATATAAAAATAAAAACTGTGCTTTTATATCCGAGTTATTTTGATGGAATGGCCGAGGTCCAATATTTAACTTTGATCGCTAATATCGGTCGATACCATGCCGATAATATCGTGCATCCCTAGTTTGATTCTCTATTTTTCTCCAAGGACGTTAATCGTTCCGTCAGGGAATGGGATTTTCTTCAATGACAGTACACCAATCCAGTTTTTAAAACTTTTTTATTGTTTTTAATTTTTTTTGCTCTTTTTTAAATTATTTATATTATCTACAAAGTAAAAGTTTTAACTTAAAAGTTACATGAGGGTCAGGTGAGAAGTGGGATCTGATCACCCCAGCCAGTAGAATTTCATAAATAACATCTCCTGTCCTCTTGGCTGCTGAAAGAATTGATGTTTCACAGGAAGTTTCTGGTCGTGTTGATTTTTTTCCTTTTAGTTTGGTTAGACATGGTCTTGTAGTCTGGAAACAAACGCAGCACATAGCAGCAGCAGTAAACAGATTAATACTGTCTAAAAGTTGGAAGATTTGTTTTTCTCCATAACAAGGTGCAGTCACGATACAAGTTCCAGTTAAATCTTCACTCTCAGATTAGCAACTCTTTCATGTTTTAACTTGGCAAGCTAAAGTCGCAGTCTGGGACCCCTGATGTGTGCGTGTGTGCATGTTTGCATGTGTGTGCATGTGAGAGAACAGGGCCATAACAGAAACAGTCTTGTCGGATTAAAAACTCCTCTCTTGTTAAAACGTGTCACTGCATCAACCTGTTAACATTCACTTATTGCCAACTCTGAGTGGAGAGGAGGAGAACAAGGAAGGAGAAGGGAGGGGGGAGTAGGAGTTGGGGGGCGGGGTTGGGAAGAAAAACTGATGTGAAGCATGTCTGATGAGAATGAGGAGGAGAGGGAGGCCTCTCATCCTCTTCGTCGCCTGCTTATGAAGGCTCTGGGGTAAGAAGCGTGGTGCGGAGCGGGTCCCTCGGCTCGCTGCTGCCCTCTGCCTACAGCTGCTGCTGGTGATGAGGCTGCACTGCAGGGACGACAAAACCAGGAGGAACTTCAATAAAACGAGTGCGATGGACCGTCATGCTGCTGAGAGAGAATCCTCGTGTACAGTTCACATCTATTCATCGTTTGATGTCGGGCTACGCCGCCCTCTTAAGTGAAACGATCTAGTGATGATGATACTGGGGGGCCTCATCCATGTACTGGTACGAAACTGGCTATCATAGGTTAGACAAACTGCCGTTTAGAACCGTCTCACCCCTGGGATCATCTGCAAAAAATACAAATAGATTGAGAGCAGCAGCAGACGGGGGAGTGGAGTCACCGCTGGAACCCTAGATATACGAGGCAGTTTGGTTTGACAGTTTGTAAAACAGCTTTAGCTCGATCCATCTTCTGGCACACGCCGGTTACATGGATGTGTCTGGATGTGGCACCTTGGGTATGGGACTGGGGCTGAACTGGTTTTTAGGTCAATCATTTCTCGACTCGGTGCTGGAGTTCTGGAGTAGGAGATAAGATTTTGAAATACTTTCTGGTACTCCTCATTAAACAAAGATGAGAGGAAAACTTGGCTTGCTGACGTTTTTTAACCATTTATTACACAATTCTGTCCCGTGTCCCAGTAAACAAAGAAGTTTAGTTGAGCATGAAAAACTAGAATTATGTAGGTTCGGCTGTCACGCAGACAGCCCCCGCCCCCCACACTCACAAAATAAAATCACTTCTGATCTACAGAATTCCCATGAGTGGGGGGGGGGGGGGGAGCCAAAGTGTTTTGTTTGCATCCGTTAAATGAACAAATCAAATTGTGCATCTTTCAAAGCAGCTGCACATTCGACTGCCAAGCGTTGGCAGCCGAGCTGCGAGTAGGAACACATCCAACAAACGTCTGGTCCTCTGCCTTTTGATTTCCTCTCCCAGATGGAAATAAGTTGTTTTTAGGTACATTTGCTCAGAAAAAGAAACGTGAATATCAAATCAGCTAAGACAAAGTGTTTGAATAACTGCATGAAGGCAAAAGGTGCTAGATGCAACAACTGTGGCCTGTGCTGGTGAACAAACGTACCTTGTGGATGTGCCAGGTAGGAGAAATGTGTGGTGGAGGAAACGGGGATGGGGTTGAGGGCAGTCTGGGCCATAGGTGGCTGTGGACCCCCTGGAGGACCCTGAGCGGCCATCAGCATCATTGGGGCGTGGGTGGGCGCCGGGTGGTGAGATGGCACTATACCGGACTGCATATGAGCCTGAGAACGGGACAGAGAGGGATGATGTGGCGGTGAGAAAAACCAGAAGTAACTAATTTAAAAAGATGAAACGGACGAGCCGCAGCTCAGCAGGAGGCTGCAGCTGAAAGAAACGGGTCTGACTGAGGGAGAGCTGAAGCAGGAACCACAGTCAACTGGAAATGTTTTTACAGCAGATAATAAAACTCTTATTACGTGCAATGAAGAGCATCCTGAGGACACCACGCAGAAAACCTGATTAGAAGTGTTTTATAAGACCACTTCTTGCTGCCGTCAGTTTAGTGCACACACACTTTAAAGAGCACTATATATTTTGCAGTGTAGCTTTAATCCACAAGACTTTACAGAACAGAGTTTCTGAAGCAAAAGTAACTCCATCGGGCAGTAAATCTCTGTTTAATGTGTTTTAAACCAAAAGCTCCTGCATTAACTTCCTCTGTCTGTCCTCCCCTGAACATTTCCTTTACAAGGGAAAAAATGTTTCTTTTTGGAAACTGTGAAACATTTAAAAACTTCTTTGATTAAAATATTCTGATGGGTTGGTTTCTGCCTTTGAGTCTGAGCAGGGTTTCATTTGATACCTGTCCAGATTTTCCCTTTCGTACTCGTCTCATACTCTGCTACACTTTGATGGGACGTCTGCAGAAGACACAGCACAGGTGAAGCAAGCTGCTTTAGAGAGTCTGTAAAAACCTCTGGTGGAATCAAAGCACCGCGGGGACGATCAGATCCTGCAGCTCCACTGAATGGAGCATCATTATCTTATTTTTCATTTGGAGAAACTGCCAAGAAATACCCAGTAAACTTGCAGCACACTCAACACAAAGGAACCAGTAAGAAGCCTGAAGACAGAATGTGACCCACCTGCTGCACGTGAGCCATGTGGTTGGGATTGTAGCCATGCTGCACCTGCTGCGGGTGGATGTACACGGTCTGCTGAGCAGAAGGGAACGATGCCTGGGGAGACTGTGGGTTGGGCCCCGGCGTCATGGAGGGGGGCGTCGGGGCCAAGGCTGAGTACATCTGCTGCTGCGGGGCCTGGCTGGCTAGGTGCAGGGCTAGGACACACAGAAGCGCACAGTTATTCTCCTGAAACGACTCGACGATGACGACGTCAGAAGGAGAGAATCACCTGCTGCTGCCGCCTGCGGGTGCTGGGGGTGCTGGACCGGGCTGGCAGCAGGGTGGCTCGGAGGACCTCCATGTTGTGGACCACCTTGCTGGGCTTGGCCTGTGGGAGTGGCAGAGGGCTGGGGGTGCTGGGGATGAGGATGGGGGTGTAAGGTGGCACTGGGGTGGGGGTACTGCTGAGGCATGGGCCCTGGAGACACTGACACAGGAAACAAGTGTGAAGAACAACGAGGGGGCAATGTTTACAACACAAACAACAAATTCTGCTTCTTCACTCATTAAATAAAACAAGTCCAGAACCACCACCACCACCACCCCCCCCCCCCCCCCCCAAAAAAAAAAAAAAAACCTGTAAGGTAACTTAACTTGTTACAACAAAAAAATCATGTGATAGGATTAACAAAACATTTTATTATTTGATTAAATAAAAAAAAACACTATGCAAGTCTTTTCAAGTTTGTGGAAAAAGTATCTTACTTTGAAATAAAGTTAAAGTTAAAGTGAACATAAAAATGAGGATAGTTTGTTGCATTTTCAACAGTGACGTTCAAGAACGTAGTTTTCTGGTGGATTCAGAGAAAGATGCCTCTGTTTAGCTGAAGGTTGGATCAGTGACGCAGCTAACGAGCTACATATTTTCACTCTGTATTCATTGTGAAAGTAAAAAAGGCCAGGCTGATTCTGGCAGATCCTGATCACCCACTCCATGGGGAGTTCAGGTTGCTTCCGTCCGTACGCAAGTATCTGCTGCCCAGATGGAGAACGAACAGACTGAAAATCTCAGTTATCCCTGCAGCGACCAGGCTCCTCAACGAACAGTGGTGATTTCTGTTAGTGTCTTAATGTCCACACTTTGTTTTATATGTCTACTTACTGAAACGAACTGTCCCTCTGGGATAATATTCTTGAACAAACTATTATTTGTGTGACTGACGTTCATTCGTTCACATATTTGTAGAATGTTAGATGGGAAAACTGTCAAAACTTAAGTCTTTTTTGTTGTGCTTGAATAAGAAAAAAAAAGTCCACGTTATTTTAGGTCAAAGCTACAAAGAGTCGCCGTCACAGCTTTGTTTTCTTGCCAAACACTCGCTGATATGAACAGCTCGGGGTGGTGTTCACGTACCATACATGGTGTGTGTCTGTTCTGGGTACTGTGTGGTGGAGGAAGACACCAGACTGGGTTGGCCATGAGTAGGAGGCGCCATCATCCTGGCGCTGCCCTGCATCACTGGACTGAACACATGCTGTGCCTGAAGGACGTAACGACACACACAAAACAACATGCGCATCAGTGCGTCAATCAAAAGCTTCACACAAGAAAGAACATCTCGGGTGTCGTGTGTCAGTGCCTCAGTCTAAAACACCTCCTGCGTGAGACAAATATGTGCACGTGAACAGCTGCCTCCTGAAGCTGCTGTGCTGAGAACGTCCTGATGGTGGTCGTGTCGTACCTGCGAGTGGTAGTGTGGCATCTGCTGGACGAGCGGCTGACTGGCGAACTGCTGCGGGCTGCAGGTGAAGTACTGCGCAGAGTAAACTGGGCTCTGCGCTACGATGGGCGGGCCTGCTGCTGTCGCTGGGTGCATCATGGTGGGCGTTCCAGGCGGGTGGTGCTGGTCAGACCTCTGCTGGGGCATGTTGGGTACTAAAGGTTTATGTTGGGAGTTGAAATTATTAAGCAAAAGATCAAATTAATGACTTTCTCCACCTCATGTGCACAGAAAACGAGTGAATCTGAGAAACACATTTCTGCAACTCTGTTGTGTGAGTACTGCAGGACGGGGCTGGAGATTTATTCCTTCGTTTTCTAAAGTTAACAACATAAAACATTAGAAGCCATCGCCTTTTGGCAGCCGGCAATTATTAATAAACTCACAAATCTTAATTTCAGGTGAGGCTTGAAGAAGCAACATGAACAAAGACTTCTGTTTGCTCTGTGATATTCTGTGAACTATAATGTCTACTACTGAATATCAAGTTATCTTACAAGAAACCTTAGTCAAAATAAATAATAATAAGTCAATGAGTTTTCAGTTTGTTTCCACTGAACAGAAGCTAGGTGTGTTAAGCTGCTGAAAACTTTTCTGGGTTAAAAAAAAAAAAAAAAGTTATTCAGGAACAAAACATGTAAAAATGGAAAAACATTAGGTGCACTGACGACTATATATATATTAAAAAATCAAATGCATTTTACTCCTTATGGTAATGCAACATTATGTTATGTTTGTTTATTTGTCATATGCAGATAAACACAAGTTCAACAACGCAATGAAGTGTCCAGAATGAGAAGAACCAATTTGACTTGCTAAATTAAAAAAAATATATAAGTAAAAAATACTAAGGCATGCAATAAAAGTACAAAATAAAGTACCAAAAAATGAAAAAGAAATATTTACACGGTCCAAGAGAAATACAGTAAACAACAACATGGTAGAATATAACGGTGCGAGTAGGATGAATTAGTACAAATAAGTATTTCACAGGTAGTAATATACATTTAAATGCACACAATATATATTGCACATAACTAACATAAACTGCAGGGGTTGTGTGACAGATTATTGCACAGGTAGTGAGCAACATTGAGATTAGGGGCGCACCGATTAAAGTTTTCTGGCCGATCACTGATCTCTAAAACCTCTGCCCTGCTGATTCTGATCCTGTTTTCTAAGAGACACCGTCGGGTGTTATAATTTCACAATGCACCTTCAATTCTCCAATATAATTTTATTTAAAACCATACCTTTGAACAATATCCTAGAAACAATACAAACTTGTTTTAACTGGCCATGAGGTAGTGCTCTGAAATATAAACAAAGTTTAGTTAATTGTTGTTAAAACTATAAATAAATTTTAAAAAATTCTGTAAAATCGGTTTCTCGTGGATCGGCCGATCGTCGATCGCCCAAAATTAAGGAAATCGGGGCCGATTTATCGGTGCACCCCTAATGAGATGAATGGAATTATGATGGTAAGGTAGTGACATACATGATACAGCCACATTAAACAGGAAACTGACAACAGGAGGGAAAGGGGAGACAAAAGCAGTGGCTATTCTCACCTTTACCTGGTCTGTAGGGTTTGGACTGGCTGACCGTCATATGAGGCATCTGGACCTGGTACACGGCTGGAGACTGAGGGAACGAGGGAGTGATGGCAGCAAATGGGAGAAAATAAACAATTTAACCTTAATTTTTTTAAACAACTAATATCCTGAAACATGCTGTATTCAGTTTTCATCTTGTTTTGACAGGTAGATGCTAACACAGTAAATATCTTGAAAAGAACGCTTGAAGTTACATCTTACCTGGGGCCACATGCACTTTCTATCATTTGGAGGGTTGAAATGAGTTACAGCCCGTATAATCCTAATCAGTCCTACATTTTCCTCACATCTAGAACATGCAATTTTATTACAAAACGTAGTGCAGCTAAACTAAAGCTTAAAACATTTGAGCCAACACTAATTTGTTTGGTAAACAGAAGGAAGAAACAACAGAAACAGGATGATGTTAACGTCCATCTGGGACGGCAGTTTCAAATGAATTGCAATAAGAAGTTGGCAAACCAACATCTGATAGCATTATTCCAACAAGCAAGCAGAAAGAACATCTCAGTACTGATTGGGCTTAAAAATGAACAAAAACAAGGATTAAAAAAAAAAAAAAAAAGGTAGAAATCTTAGAAAAAAATTCACAAACCTTCCATATTATGCTTTTCTAATGGAGCAAGAGAAAGAGAGGGGAGGTGGAGGAGGTGGAGGGGGAGAAAAGGGAAAAAGAACCACTCTTTAGTTGTTATTGTTTGCACGTGTCTGATGTTGGATCACCAAGTTTTTCTTAAAGCAACACAGAGTACACACAGTTACATAAACAAGCTCAATGACGTTCATTAAAAATGTAAAATACTTTAAAGGAGCTCTGAGGATGTGCCACACAACAAACGTTTTATGCATTTCCCCTCAGTCTAAACATCACGATCTTCTAGTCCCAAAACAGCTTTTTTTAAAGCAGGAGAAAATGTAAGTCGGAGTTTCTAGAAGATGATGAAGAAAGAACAAAAAGACAAACGGGGGACCTTGTAGTGAAGTTTGTTGGAGAAAAGATTATGAAACTACCGTAATTGCCGGTGTACAAGCTGCTACTTTTTTTCTCACACTTTGTAACCCGCGATTTATATGCAGGAGCGTCTTATTTATGTACAAAATTACAATTTATTTTGTATTATAAGTGTGGCTTAGAGACAGGTGTGTTTTAAAGCCTGAGAATTACGGTAGGTTTTTATTTATTTATTTATTTATTTTTAAACAGACACCACTAAGGTCATCATTGTTTACACTGAATAAAAATCTATGTATTTTTCCCGTGCAGCACATCTTAGCGTGCATGTTTCTGTCTCACCTGCACTCCGGGGCTGACTGGGGTCAGAGGATACATCTGAGGGAAGCAAACGGTTTGGCCGTACACAGCCTGAGGTTGCTGTACCACGATGGAAGGGCTGGGCTGGCCCTGAGGCCGAGGGGGCGTCGGGGTGTTGGCTGGTTTGGGCTGATCAGGAGGTAAACAAACAAACAAAAATGTAAAAAAAAGAAGTCTGATTTGTTTGTTACTGCACTGCCCTGCCATACTGACCTGTGTATTAAACCTGGGTTTGAACTCATTAGCGTTTGGGTTCAGGGTGGATTTTCTTACTTGACTGTAGAAAGTAAACAAAATTAAGAGATTAACATTTTAAGGATCAGTCTGGTCCACTTGTGTCAACTTAAAAAAAGAGAACTTCAGATTTTTTTAAACCATTTTTCATAGCAAATGCAACTCAGACAGAACTGAAGATTGCTTTGTTTTGGTATTTACAGCAAAACTTCAGGGAAAATGTAAACAAAACATTTGTTAAGAATAGGCCTGTCGCGATAAACAATAAATCAATTAATCGCATGATAAATTAAAATTATCGACCTCATTTGCATTCACCAGCTTTATCGTTTCTTCATGTCTCTCTCTTTCTACTGAAGACACTGGATGACAAAAGGCTCAACTCCGGTGCTCTTCACTGACCCCTCACTTTCTCTTTAAAATATGTTTTAACTGTCCAAAATTGCTTTTTTGGATTGTTAAAAGCAGCTAAGCTACAAGCTAAGCTAACAGGCCGACCTCGGGAATAAACATCCGTCTTGTCAAAGCTCCAAAATTCACAGTTGAAACCCGTGCCTTCGTGTAAAATGTTGTTTTTCTCTGCAAAAAGAAGCTGAGAACTTGTTTACTGATTTTTGATTAAAAGCTTTGTGTGAAAAATGCTATGCTAAACACCTCAAATCAGAGCGTCCGCCATGTGACCATGTCATCCCATGTCACGTCAAGGGCCCTCCCTCTCATTTTTCTTAGAGACACAATGCTCAACTATGCATCCTTTGGTTCAAACAGTCTTATACTGCCATCAGGTGGTCAAAAAAGATACTACACTCCAAACAAATCTATATTTCTTCCAAAATTTGACAATTATTGCTGAATTTCAAACAATATTATCGTTTATCGCAATAATTTCTGAGACAATTAATCGCCCAGCAATATTTGTTATTGTGACATCTAACCCCAAGTTAGGATAAATGCTACTTTAGTGTTTCAAACAAATTTATAACTATCAAACTTCAATCTCTTTCCCACTCACTCTTGCACCGCTTCCTTTTTCTCCTCTTTTTCTTCGTGCTTGGCTCCACCGAACCTCGACATTGTTGTTTGAACTCCTTGTGAAGTCACGTCCAGCCCTGACCTCTTCTGGTCCGGAGCTGAAGGAGATGGAGACAAAGCAGCAGGGCTGCCAGGCTTACTGGTGTTTGTGTTAGTACTGGAAGGAGCAGGAGCAGCTCCAGAGGTGCCAGCAGGAAGAACTACACAATTTTCTGAACTCTCCCGTCCCACTGTGGAGGTTTTGTCCAGGGGCAGGTCTTTTGGTTTGTCTGCAGGGTCTCTGGGAGGCTTGGTCATCATCTGCTCAAAGGCAGCCTCTGGATTAGAACTGGGCTGCAACTGGAAGAGGTAGATAGGAAAGAAGAGGAACCTACGAGGTTAGCTTTGTTATTATTTGAGTTTTTTAACTACACAACATAAAATACTTACTCTAAAATCTTCACTAAACTTCTTTAAATTATCTATTTGTTTTCTGTGGTCTGGTGCCATAGAAGGAGGTCCTGTAATCAGAGAGGAATTAACTTTATTAATAAAAGTATATATTTTATGATAGCGCAACAGTCCAAGTTACAAAACAACAGTCTAATCATCAATTTCCCTACAATAAAAAGCTAGATTTGTTTTTATCAAAAGCAAACACCCAGAGTATACTGTACCTTTACACGCTGCTCTTGTGATATTAGGTGAGCTGTCCAAAGGCTTGATGCTCTCACTGTTAGTTGAAGGGGATGACTGTCTTGTCTCTTGGACACGACTCTCTTTTGCTAGAACAAAAATAAAATATTTGCTTCATCAAGCCCAAAAGCAAAGCTAAAATATCAGAAGAGGCCCTGCAACACAGAACCATCAAACTCTAAATGAAAACAGTTTATTAAGAATGTAAAGTATCCCCGAGGCTCAATGGGATTAACCTGTCTAAATAAAGGTTGAATGAAATCTTAAGTTGAGCTCACCATGATCCCCTGATGGAGAGGTGACTATGTTGGGGGCGGGGCTAGCAGCAGCAGGAGAAGCAGCTGATGTCAGTGTTGTAACAGTTTCCACAGGAGTCGTTCCTGTTTGGGGGGAAGAGAGGGAGGAAGACCCGGGGGAGGCTCCACCCATGCTGTTCTGTCGTGGGGAGCGAGGTCTGTGAGCTGAGGGGAGGAGGAGAAATAGTTTTACTGACCAAAGAACATAGACTTACAAAAACGGCAAGCCCTCATCGTGATTCAGCCGTTCTTCAACATTTTGTTTTGTCGTAGGCAGATGTGATGGGAAAATGAGTTTGACCCAAAGTACAGGAAAGCAACTAATTTACAGATCTAATTTGCATACAACACCATTAGAACATCACAATGTCACAACACATTTAACCTTTCTACACTGCTCGTTTTGTTGTAATCCTTTTCTAAACTCATGCACAAATAAACTAAACTATATATGACCTTTTTCATGTCTTTTCTTGATCTAGTCATGTAATAAAGTTAGTAAATTGCATATCATAAATAGAAGTGTCACATTTATGTACAAAAAATACCTAATTTCATTCATACAATTATGAACTATATGTTATTGATTATATTGTAGCTTGTCATTTTATCTACAAAAAAAAAAAGATAAAGTACATTTTACAACAAAGCTATTTACAAACTATAAACATGTCTACTTTACATAGTTTTTAGGATGTAGAATGCTGAATTATACTTCCCCCAACTTTATTGTTAAGAGCCAAACTTTCAATATTTTAAATTCCAGGTTTATTCCAATTTATTCCCATAACTGAATTAATTCTAGGGCTGGACGATATGGCCAAAACTTTTATCACAATATATTTCTTAATTTCGGTTGATAACGATATAATTCGATATCGATATAAACAATATAAAAGCCTCAGAAAAACTACAAACTATACAAATAAATTAATGTTCACCTTTTATTTGTATTTAGCCTTCAAAAAAATTGAAATCACTGCCAAATAAACATAAAATTCTCAACTTTGTCAATATTAATAGTTTTAACTTTAAACAACAACTTTAAAATTGACAGCATTTCAGTTTGTTGTTAATGAAATAACATTTTTGGGTGTCGTTATTGATGAGAAGCTGACGTGGAAATCTCATGTAAAATACTTAAAAATAAAAATAATCAATTGCATTACTGTATAAAGTAAAAGAGTTTTTGAATGACAAAGCTTTGTATATATTGTATAATGTAATGATTGTTCCATATTTAATATATTGTAATGATGTTTGGGGAAAAGCATGTAAAACAATTACAAATCCTATTTTTATTTTTACAAAAAAGAGCTATAAGAATTATTAGTAGTATGAAGTGCTATGGTCACCCAACAAATATATTATTTCATCAGTTGAAATTATTAAAATGTTATGATTTGGTTGAATATAGTATTTTACAAGTCATGTGTAACGCTCATAAAAATATAAGCCCCAAATATTCAATTGAAATTTGTAAAAAATAAATATAAAAAAGGAGAGTCAATATAACTTAAGGGAATGGAAAGGTTTGTAAAACCTCCATTTAGAACTAGTGTGAAGGAGCCGTGTTGTAATTCAGGGAACAGGATTATGGAATTGTCTTGATATCACCATAAACATTTCTAAAACAATTTATATGTTTTAAAAAGATGATAGTTAAAGTTGTTAGGAAGGTTTAGTACCAGGTGAAGGATACCTGAAGTTTTTTTGTTTTCAGTTTGGAGATCGTTCAAGTCAAGGTTGTTGTTTGTTTGTGGTTATTTTTTAAATTAGGGGCAGATAAGAATTTATTTCTTCTTTCTGCAACCTATTCATTCAATGTTTTTTTTTTTTCTTTATGATGAATTCGTTTTATTTTAAATGAATGACTAAATGATAAAAACAAACAAAAAAAATGCAGCGCTGGGGGTGTTTCAGGGACACGTTGTGCTTCATCTTGTGACTCTCATCATCTTCTGTCAAGTGGAACAAGTTGGTTAGAATGACTCTGTCACATTTTGCAGCACACTGACTGAAACCTGCAGTTTATTGGATCGTAGAAAGCCGAACCACTTCCAAACCAGCAAATTAGTCTGCCCTCTCTTATCAGTGATGTCATCTGCTTTCTCTTCGCTTGTGAAATCTTGTTCAGTCACATTCTGACGATCATGGGCACTCATTTTGAAGCGAAAACTTAACGCGCGTTGGAGATAAGCCTAGCTTAGCCTGCTACCACTAACGCCTTCTAGACTTGAGCTCTGCGTAACATCTACGTCACCACGCACTTACGTAGTTGTGTCGCACCTTTTTCTGTCCGGGTTGAAACTGAAGTGGCCGCTTCAACCCGAACAGAAAAAGAAATGTGTCAGTGAAACGCTGTAATCCTATCAAAATATCGAAAATGAGCTTAAAACTCATATCATTGTTATTGAATAAAAGTATATCGCGAGATATATCGAATTATTGTCCAGCTCTAATTAATTCCTATTAAATACAAGGTTTTCCAACTTAGAAAATTTATGGAATTTTACAACCTGACCCACAACAGATGTTAACAAAATGGCCTCCCTACTAGAATCTCCAATAAAAAAGGAGGACGTTTTACCTCCACTGACCACTGAAGACCAAGTCCCACCCGAGGAGTTGCTCCTGGTTGGTGGAGCTGATGAAACTTCCACAGCTGAACTGTGAGACACTAGATCCACACCAGGGTGGACTCCTCCAATTCGTGACGGTGGCACTCTGTGAGAACGAGGCGTCCGCTGGGACTTCGGCGACATCCTGGGAGGACCTAAAGAAGACGACAGACACGTCCCATAAACTGACAGCGAGTCACGGCCCCTCCTCACATCCAGCTGTGAAAACTCTCTGAAAGCCACTGTGCGTTTCTCATGATCTTATAAAGGCCCAGTCCTCTGCGATGACTACATCATGAACATAGGTGTAAATAACATCAAAACGTAGTGGCATGCAGGTTAGCAGAAAATAAGCAGATGACTCAAAAAAATAATCAAAACAAAATTTTCAAACCACAACCAAGATAAATGAAAAATGGCAAAAAGCGGTAGTAATAAGCGAGAAATAAAACTATCTAAATAAAACGGCTATAAAAAAAGTTAAAAACGAGTACTCAGTTTCTTGTTAGTTTTTTGTTTCTACTAAAACTATTGTTAGGTAGAAGTGTAGAAAGCACAGCACAAACACCTGGGTGAACCCACAAGCCAGGGTGAAATCACTTGATGCCCTGAGAAGAGGTCAGTTTCTCCATTATAACCAAATCCGACCCCAAATCAGTCTGAACAAGCAGTTTCACCTATTTTTGTTGTTCCATGCTAAACCTGGGCAAATTCATTCATGAGAGGAGGAATTGTTTTTTATATTTCTAACAGTGATGTTTTTGCCCAGGTCTGCTCCACCTGTGTGGCTACCTTCTGACGACATGCGTTTGGGCAGAGTGGAGGCTGGCGACGTGGGCCCGTGGTGAGAAAAGGAAGATGAAGAGGAGGGATAGGAGGGATGGGATGAATGAGAGGGAGGCCTGGAAGGTCGGGAAGGGGGTCTGGAGGGTGGCCTGGTGGGCGTGGTCGCCCGAGGAGGCAGGGAGGAGGGGCCAGACTGGTAACGAGAGGGGGGACGAGAAGAAGGAGACGGACAGGGTGAGGGCCAGTGGGATGAACCTAAAGGAGGCAAGGACAAATGATCAAAGATCAAAAACCAGTTGAAGTGAAAGAAAACATAAAAGCTCAGCAGGAACAGAAAGGAGAGAGTTATTTATTATGAGTGAAAAAAATGAATTGACAAAAAAGCAAAAAATGCAGAAAAAATTAATGTACATAACAGATCTGATTAAATTAAACAATTAGAAAATTATGTTATGGGTGTTTTTGTTGTGCAGTTATGGTATAAAGTAAGCAGAGCCTCTTTCAGTTCCTTTGTTTTACCCAACAGTAGCAAAAAACGATGTTCAGTTGTATTTTTAACCAATTTTAAGACACAGTATGTTCAAAACAACATTTAATTACGTTATGATTAAGCATGAGCCAGTTACTGGCTTCAAGCGTAGACTGGGGCAGATAAAAAGGTGAATTAACCAATATCAGAACAATAATAAAAAGGGTTTGATAAACATTGAAACTTGCACTGCAAATAACAATGTCTGTAGATAATGTTAAAACTTGGGGAAAATAAATAAATAAAAATGAAGGCACACTATTTTTTTTTTTTTTTTTTACCATGACTGTAGCTGATTTGTTACCAAAAAAAATATACACCTTATCAAAAACGGTATCAGAAACATGTACAAACATGTAGCTGGTTTGTGAATGGTACAACGTACCTCCATTGACCACTCTCTGGTCCGTCCCCGAGCTGGGACTGTAGTCGTGAGGCCCTGATCGAGGAGCCGAAGGTCCACCTGAGTTTTGACCCAAACGTGGAGAATTCTGGCGTCCTGGTCCCCATGACATCACTTCCCTGTTCCTCTGGCCTGGAGGAATGTACTTGTTCTCTCTACACAAACACACATATACACACAAGTTCAGTTAAATTTAACAACAATAATAATAATCATAATAATGTGAGGGCTCTAATCTGCACTAAATTATTCTAAATACTTCTCATTGCCAAATATGAGTAAACTTTTGTTCATCACTAAAATCATGAATCTAGCAACAAATGTTTATTGAATTTTCATGGAACTACTGGTACTTTGTTTTTAAAGACCTATTTATGTCTCTTAAGAGTGCACGGTAATCTTTTTGCAATGGACCAATACTGTCTGGAAGCACTACGGACAGTTAGGGCTGGACAATAATTTGATATCAATATACGTCACAATATACTTTTATTCAATAACGGTGATATGAGTTTTAAGCATATTTTTGATATTTCGATAGGATTACGGCGTTTCACTGACGCATTTCTTTTTCTGTTCGGGTTGAAGTGGCTGCTTCAGTTTAACCCGGACAGAAAAAGGTGCGACACAACTACGCAAGTGTGTGATGATGCAGATGTTATGCAGAGCTCGAGTCCAGAAGGCGTTAGCGGTAGCAGGCTAGGTTAGGCAAATCTCCAACGCGCGTTAAGTTTTCGCTTCAAAATGAGTGCCCATGACCGTCAGAATGTGACTGAACAAGCTTTCACAAGTGACGAGAAAGCAGATGACATCACTGATAAGAGAGGACAGACTAATTTGGTGGTGTGGAAGTGGTTCGGCTATCTAAGATCCGATAAACGGCAGGTTTCAGTGTGCTGTAAAATGTGCCGGAGAGTCGTTCCAACTAGCGGTGGGAACACATCTAACTTGTTTCATCTGAAGAGTTTCCATTCGATAAAATATGTTGAGTCAGAAGATGAAGCACAATAAAGTTTGAGCCAACGTGTCCATGAAACAAACACCCCCAGCTGTACCGTTTAAAGTTAAAACTATTAATATTGACAAAGTAGAGAGTTTTAAGTTTATTTGACGGTGATTTCTAAATTTTTTGAAGGCTAAATATAAATAAAAGTGAATAGTAATTTACTTGTACAGTTTGTACAGTTTTACTGAGGCATTTATATTGTTTATATCGATATCGAATTATATCGTTATCGACCGAAATCAAAAAATATATTGCGATAAAATTTGGGGTCATATCGTCCAGCCCTATGGACAGTATATAAATCAGTTTGAATGTGATGTTTGGTATATTAGTAAGCTGTGCTAAAGGAACACTCTTCTGAATTGATAAAACATAAGCACAGATTAGAGCAGTATATGGATATGGAAGTACAATTGAAACCAGAAGTTGACATACACTATTTAAAAAAACGTGCATTTTTTGTTCACACTGACATGAAATCAGGAAAAACTTTCCTCTTTAGGTTTATTAGGATTATCAATTTTTTTTCTATTTACAAAACACCCAATATTTTTAAACAATTTTTATTACGGTACTTTCTTCAAAGTCAAGAGTTTAAATACAATAAGATCACTACGATGCCTGAAAGTGCCTCGTTCATCTGTATGAACAATTATACGCAAGTACAAACAAGATGGTAATGTCCAGCCATCATATGACTCAGGAAGGAGATGGGTTCTGTGCCCCAGAGATGAATGTGCTCTGGTCCAAAATATGTATATCAACCCAAGAACAAAAGCCAAAGACCTGATGAAGACGCTGGCTGAAGCCGTTTTATAAGGTTTATAAGGTTTTATAAGGAAAGTTTACCACTCTGTGCATGTCAGTACTCCTATTTTGAATAAAGCCCGCTGCAAGTAAACGCTTTTCGTGAACGGATTGTGCCCCATGTAAACGATACATTTGGATTATTTTATCCGAATACATTTCAATCCAATCAAAGAATTTTGCGCATGTAAACGTAGCCAATGACCCGAAGCAAACTGTCAAACTGGTTATAAAGTGGCTCAAGGACAACAAAGTCAATGTTTTGGTGGCCATCACAAAGCCCTGATCTCAATCCTATCAAAAATGTATGGGCAAAGCTGAAAAGACATGTGAGCAAAGCAGCCTACAAACATGGCTCAGTTACACCAGTTCTGTCAGGAGGAATGGGCCAAAATTCCTGCCTACTATTGTGAGAAGCTCGTGGAAGGATATCCAAAACGTTTGACCCAAGTCATACAGTTTAAGGGCAATGGTACCAAATACTAATGAAGTGTATTTAAAAAAACTTTTGACTTTGCAGAAAGTAATAAAAATTGCTTTAAAAACTTCTCACTCTCATTATTCTGGCATTTCGCAAATAGAAAAAAAATTGTTAATCTAATTGACGTAGAACGGGAAAAAGTTTGTTCTGATTTCACAACATCAAATGCAGAAATACCGTGAAGAAATCAGTACTACTAAAAGTAATCCTCTTAAAACATTTGAAGTCTGTGTTACTGCTCTAAGATGTCTCCCAGTTTTATTAGAAGAAAAAAGTAACTAAAAATGATTAACTAAATATTAAAGAAGCTAATATTTGCAATCAATAAAACAATCTTTCACAAAAAGTGGATTTAAACATTGTACAATAGTCCCTTGCTACTTCACGGATTCGCTATAACGCAGTTTTTCAAAGTAAGACAAGACATGACACAATTGGCTGATTGATGGATGAGCCATGGATTGTTTATTTAAAATAAATTATTTTAAGTGTTTCTGCACCTTTGTGCAGCCCACAAGTGCAGGGGGGAGCTCCCTCCTGCAGCCTGTCATGATCTTCACTCTCTGCCACACATTTCTCATGCTGCATCGGATTTGTGAAGGGTTAACCCTTTGCTGTCCAGATGCACCGATAGACTTTTGTTTTCCAACTTAAAATTCAAAGTACTGTATGTCACATCGTAAAATCGTTATAAGTCACAAAATTTAAAAGCGTTAAAAGTTATTTTTAATTATTATAGAACTTCTATGTTCAGTTGTTGAAGTGTAATTGATCAAGAAGTACATTTCTGCTCTGTGCTGCAGAGCTGCATAAAGGGAATGGATTGATTATTTAAAATATTACCGTATTTAAATTTAAATTGTTTAAGGAGGGAGATTGGGAGTAAAAGGTGATGAGTGTGATTGCAGCCTGGCACGTCATGACAAAGTTTACTGTACTTGAACTTGGACTACTGTCTCCCTACTTTGTGGTTTTTCCATTTACCTCGGGTGGGCAGGGTACAACACACCCGCGATAAATGAGGGACTACTGTATTGCAGTAGGGATTTAGAGCTGGATTTATTAAACACATCAAGCCATAAACAAACAGAATTATGGAAATCTGAATGTGCTGGGTGGCACAGTGGCATAGTTGGTGGAGCTGCCACCCCTCAGTGAGAAGGTAAACGGTTCAAATCCCGCCCGGGGGGCCATTGTGGGTGGAGTTTGTATGTTCTCTCCATGCATGCGTGGGTTTTCTCCCGGTACTCCAGTTTCCTCCCACAAACTAAAAACAGGCATGTTGGGCTGATTGGTAACTCTAAATTGTTCATAGGTGTGAGAGAGAGAGTGAATGGCTGTTTGTCTCGTTTGTCTCTATGTGTCCCTGTGATGGACTGGAGACCTGTCCAGGGTGTAGGATGTCTCTCGAAAAGTGACTGCTGGACATGGGCACCAGTGACCCGAAAAGGAAGAAGTGAGTAAAAATAATGGATGGATACAGCTGCTGATTATAAAGCTTGTACTTACACATTCACAACATTCAGAATGTATAGGGCTAAAACTCTTTACATCCAACTTGATCTCACCTGCTGAGTGTGTGAGGCTCCCTCTCCCCTCGCACCACAGCAGTGTATTTCTCCTCCTCGGAGCGATCATCGTTCTCCAGGGCCACACGGGCTTTGTACGTAGAGCTTGCCTCGATCTCCTCTGCCAGCTGGGCAGCACGAGCTTCTCTCTTGAGAAACTCTTCTGAGTCGTCACGCTCCAAAGGGACCCTGGGAAAGAAAGGCAGGAGAGTTATGGACTGACTACTGTTGTGCAACTCAAACAAGACTGTGGAAACATGACGCAGTCCAAGTCAACAACCATGTCAACCATTCAGAACAGACTTTTAGCATTTTATACAGTTGGAAGTATGTGAAACAAGTATTAAAAGGACTAAGTTACACAAAGCAAAACACAAATAGAAAGCACACAGAAACTTACGTATATGTGGACAGGCTGCTGTCATACGTTGACAAAACTCCGTATTTCTCCTCATTGTACTTGAACATGTCGTTGGGATCCCACCCATTTGACTGGTTTTAAAGACAGAAAGCAGCTGAGACAGAGTCTGACAAAAACTCCAAAAATAGAGTATCATTGTTTTTTTAACACATGACAGTACTGTCATACTATAAAGATTTGTATGAAAACCATCCTCTGTATATCAATGTGTCTGACTGTTCTCACCACATCTGTATCCAGAGACTCAAGGCTGTCCGAGTTGTGAGTTTCTCCACCGTCCCAGGGCTCTAGGTCTTTTTCTTTATGTTCACCATTAACTCTACCACTCACTGCAGAATCTGTGAAATTGTCTGTGACATTAAGAAAAATCAAATACATGTCGATGTGTGTGCAGCATACCATCACACACAAATGACTTCATAAGTGGGGATGGGAACTGGTCACCTCAAAATTTGTGATAGGATGCATGTTCCACTATATTACCATTACAATGCAGCAAGTATGTGACGTTTGAAAATTTGCAAAAATGATGAACAAATATGAAAACTAATGCGTGAGAAAGTTACAGATCAAGAGTTCTGTCTAAACTTGGCAATGGCCAGATTTCAAAGAGAAAGATCCAAGCAGTTAAACAGGAGTTTTAACTTTTCCCCCCTGAAAGGTAAAATACTAAAAGTGTAGCAGCTATGAATATGCAAATAGTATAATATTGATTTTATTCCCCATACAAATAGACTTTAAGGCAGATTTTAGCTCGAGTGTAAAAGTAACCCATGTTTATAATAGGGAGGGTCAGTGATTTCAAATATCTAAAGTCTAGTTAAAATATATGTTTGAAGAATTAATGTGACTGTGACAATAGTCTATGGGTTTTTTTTTTCCCACCACCAGCACCTGGTATTGACACATCAAGTTGTTGCCTAATGGTGCTTTTCCAGTCGGTGTGCTTTTTTTCCAACGTGATGCCTTAATTAAAAAAAAACAGCTCTGAGCATCACAGCATCTTTCTGTCATCGTAGTTTTTTTGAAAGCACCATTAAGTGGGTTTCCACTTAATGGTATAATCATGTGTGCTCTCAGCTTTACTGCCAGAACACTTGGGTTGCCAGATAGGAAATAATATATAGTTCTCACTTCAAAATTATTGCATTTTGACCAAAACTACTGTATGTGCTGACAGAGGGTGTGCTTTCTCGAATGGGGAAGGTTGAAAAATGGAGGTGTGTGTCGTGAATGTAGAAAAGACAGAGACTTGACCCTAAAATGGTTACAATCAAAATAGTGAATACAGGAATGTGCACTTGGGCTGAGGATGAGGTCGGGTTGTTCCTACACGTTGAAAAAGGCTGAGTAGCACAAACAGCACTCTACTGTTAGTGTTGTTCATCGGCGCATGCGTAGAAAAAAGTACCGACTACAGCCGTCTATAGTGCTCATCTGCAACTTTGAGCGCTGCTGTCGTGTAAACAAACGGCTAAACTAAAGCAAAAAAAACAAACAAAAAAAACTAAAGTTTTACTCAAAAACAGCAACGTATAAACTGGGCTTGATTTTCCCCAAATAGATTCTTAATTTGTGTGTTAGATTAAAAAAAGATAACGTCAATATTTTGTCCCATCCCTACTCATGACAGACTACAGTCACAGGGCAGTAGGATGTGCAGGGAGGGGCTCAGGAGCCTCACTTATAAACTGTCACAACAAACTGTACACAGGGAGCTCCTGGTGGTTTAACAGGAAAAAAATCTAGACATTAATCTTACTTTTTATCAAATTTGGGCTTTGGCTTGAACTCATTATTAAGGTAACGTGGCATCTCTGCACTGCCTGGCTTTATAATCACCTAAATTACACAACATCGCCATGGCAACAACCAGAGGAGCAATATCCACATGTATAAAAATCAGCATGAGGTTGATAATCCATTCTTTCAGCATGCTTATTGTTTTAGTGTACAAGATACCTTTGCTCAACAAAATTATTCACAGCAAACATGCTCAAAGACGACTTCAACTTATATTTGAAAGGAAAGCTAATCTCATGTCTGCAGAGCTGCCCAAGTTTGCCCTTATATTCCCAGATGTGGCAACAGAATGTGTATATAAAGCATACCAGCCACCTAAAGCTGTAAAATACATGCATCCAAACTTATTCAGTAATAAAATGTGTACTGGTATTTAAAAACAGTAAGTTGGCACCTTACACACACTGGGAGGACAGGCCTTATTTATATTTTAGGAGGTTGCTGGCATGCTTTACTGTTGAAAGTATTTCTGCTGACATACAGGTAATTTGCAATTAAAAAATGGGTTAAGTGTAGCGTAAGCAAACATGCATTTAGACTTGCAGTCTAAAAACTTTAGGGCCATGACAAATCAAGCATCCAAGCAAAACTCTTGTTTTTTTGTTTGTTTGATTTTAAGTTCAAAGTCAAAAAAAGATGTTCAGCATTTAGTTTAAAACTGTTGCTTTCAATGGAATCGCACTCGGACCTGAGGAGTTAAATTTGAAATAAAGAGGTACTTTAAATACTGGTATGTAAAAATGAATTATTAAAGCAATGTTGCACTATATTAAGAGAGATTTAAGTTTGTTTATAGCCATAAGGGGAAAAAAAAAAAACTAAAATTTGATTTTAATTTTACATGAAATCAGTGTATTAACATGAAATATTTTACACTAATTATTTTACAAATCCTCCAACTTAAGCCCAAAAACAGTGCTAACTCTAAAAAACATGTACAACAAATAAAAGTAAATGCTTCCATTGAAAGCAACATCTATTTCAAGAATGACAGAGGCTCTGGTCATAAAACGGAGCAAGAATGATTTCCATCAGATATTTGATTCTTATTTTCTTTGATTACAGCAAACGCTGAGATGCTCAAATTTTCTCATGAAGTTTGCATTGAAAAGCAGCAATAACTGGTGAGAACAAATTCCTAAATGTTTAGGTTGTATTTCACATTTCTACAAACTACTTCAAGTGTGTATCTGAATATGCAGATGTGTCAGTAAGGATAAAAACAATAAGTTACCTGAGTCAGAGGAGACTAGACCGTTGGAAAGAAGAGACACACAGATGACAAAGTCAGAAGACGGACTGAGAGAACGATGGACGAACATACTAACAGTTGACTGTCTGACCAACAAGCTATAGATTACACTAAATCTGGAAAAGGGTTTTATTTTTCCACAAAGTCTGTCTCTGTTCTAAAGAGAATTTGTAAGGTCAAGATGAGTTATATAAAACACACTCATTCAGCCTTTATTAAGTGTCCTTGCTGCACTTGGGCAACTTTCAGACTAATCAATAGATCAAATTAGTCTTAAATGACTGGACACTCGGAGCAGAAGCACAAGATTTAACTCGTGGCCAAACCTCTGTGACATGAGGGCACTGAAGACACAAAACAATCGATAAATTACACGTATGCACTGAAGGGCATTCACTTAGCAGGAGAGGGGTTTATTTTGCATGTGTGTGATAGAAACAAAATGAAATATGGTGCTGTTATGTTTAAATATAAGGGTAATATAGGTCTTTAGTACCTTTTCGAGCAAAATTTAGGTCCACATCCTTGAAGGTCACCACAACGATATCGGAGGCTTTAAAGATGATGCTCTCTACAACATCTTCTTTCCTGGGGCCTATACTCAGCTCGGAGGTCTTTTTGTGAGCTGCATCCAACACCAGGTCACACTGGGGAACACAGTCATGGACAAATAGTTACAATGGAAATATAACATATAACATGAGCCTAAACCCTATACATAAAAACCGAGAAAATATGAATGTGGAAAACTGACCATTTATTGACTTATCTCATGTAATTAGCTTATTTTAAAACCAATAGACAAATTAGCTGATAAGAACATCAAGAGAGCTGAAAGAAGTTCAAATCCCCCCCCCCACCCTCCCAAAACCTTTTCACAACTTGTTACATATCGTCTTAATAAACTGAAAGTAAAAAGGTCTGCAGCCAAACAGTACAGTGCTGACTTAAGACAGTAACGTGTAAATATTTGAGCCTTTCTGACCATGTTGCACACTGCCATAACAAACCCCTAATATGAGGTTTTGTTTTGTTAACACAGCTAACTGGGTACCCTGAAAACCTAATTTACTTGAAAGGCACACGTTTACCTTTTAAAGGAGGATATCAGACAGAAATATAAAATAGTGAGAAAGCACAGAATTCTGTATTTTATGACAATCCTATCAATGACTGCAGTTAAACTCAAGTTCTACCAAAATATCTTAAGAAAACTATCACTCAAATTAGGATTGAATTTCTCCCAAAACAAAAAACAAAGCAAATATGATTTCCTAAAACACGTTAGAAGGACTACATCTCTCTCTGCCATAAAAGGAAAGATGAAAAAGCTGATCCTTGTCTGAACCACCTCATGAATGAAGCTGCTATTACTGAGCGCTGGCATGTGCTGTCACAGTCGAGCTTAAATTATCTGAGCAGCAGGAGTTGCAGATTTACTCACTGAAAACTAAAAATCATCACACTATGCATATCCTTACCTCTGGACCATACGTCTTAAATACTCCTTCATATATTGCTCCATTTTTCACTTTCAGCTCACACTTGGTCCCCTGTGAATGAACGAGCTGGTGGTTAGTCACTGTATGCAACACTTACTCATTCAACAAAGTGCCCAAAGTAAATTCTGAAAATAAGTTCAGAGACCCCATCTGCTATGACGAAGATTAATGATTGATCAATCTTCTCTATGTTTATTCCACCAGCTGTCCCTACTAACAAGTGTTTACCGCAGTGTACACGTTATGAAAACAGCATGTGGTGAAAGACAAACTGCAGTATTACATAGTCATTTAAGCAAGCAAGCAGCATTTTACCAAAAGGATTTTGTAAACCTCTCTGTTAATACATTTCATAGAATACAAGACAAAAATAGCAGAAGGACGAACATATTGGAACTTTAAGACACAAAGGAAACGTACCACCACTGAAGTTAAAACATGGACCATCCTCATATTTGCATACACACCACTGAAAATTACCTAAAGAGAATTAAAAAAAAAAAACAACGATGATGATCCCCATTCAAAATAAAAGATCATGCTGAATAAAACCCGAGGCTATGTGCCACCTATTAGACATCTGTTCCAAAAGTATCTAAATATTGGAACAGAGCTTTCTCAATACAAACGACACTAGCACAGAACGACCAGAAGGCCTTGAAAATGCCAGTTTGTTAAGATACTTAAATTTAACACACAAACAAGTTCTTATGATAAAGACCTATAGTGCACAAAAGTGTTTTTAACCGTTTTTGGGAGCTAACTTGTTACTTACTGCTGCAGAACCTTTACCACTGTGTCTTCCCCTGAAAGAAAAAATATAGCATTTTAGTCAAACTAATATAACAATAATGTTCTCTCAAGCACATTGTAGTGCTCAGATAGTGCAGCATTAAATGTCCAAACGAGAGAAAAGTAGATCATTCCAGGCAGTATCAAGCCACAGCTGAGAGTGTTAAAAGGGGGAAATAATTTCCCGCTCGATCTACCCAGTTTATTTAAACTCCAATCTAGATACCATTAGCTTGTGTGTGATCTTGTCTTTTGGTGAAATTTAAAACATTTTGGGATGTGTGGTGCAACCACACACTTTACCTGGATAAAGGATGCCTATGTTCAGACTTTGTCATTCCTTTCTATTTGAAATAAAAGTATTTTAAAGAGCTAACAAAAAGCTTAATAATTGTTAGATGACAGATTTAACAGATGTACCCTGTCTTGTGTGTTCTTCAAATGAATAGTTTCTCTTTATGTAAAGGTAGTTTCTCTTTATGTAAAGGTAGTT